ATAAGGCTAGTGAGCGGGGCATCAGGAGCTAAATCTCACTCCTCCCTAGACACTGATAGGTGTTACGAATATAATATATATATATATATATATATATATATATATATATATATATATATATATATATATATATATATATATATATATAATATATAATATATATATAATATAGTGAGAGTACAGATTTCATATCACACATATGTAGTATGTGCTATGTGCAGCTTGATGATGATTTTTCTCCGTGACATTTATTTATAATATATTCTGGTATGACTTTGCAGTTGGCAGAAGGATTTGAGGAGGATACAGTGATTTGATTTCATTATGATTTATACGGATTAAATTCCACATGTCAGCTAAGGCACATTAACTACGCCCACCAAGGTGTGGGATGACCCCACTGACGTAAGACCATTTATATAGGTGTTTATGTCTGTAAATATATATGAAATAATATACACATATATATATATTATATTTCTATATACTCTTATTGGATGTTCCCTAGACATCGAACAAGAGACTGGTGACACACCAGCCACCGCGAGTATATGGAATATTGCCGGAACATCCGTGAACATCTTTAAGAGAAAACTAGATAGTTTTCTCCAATGAGTGCCGGACCAACCGGGCTGTGGTGGATATGTGGGCCTGCGGGCCGGCAACAGCCTGGTGGAGCAAACTCTCACAAGTCAAGCCTGGCCTCGGGCCGGGCTTGGGGAGTAGAACAACTCCCAGAACCCCATCAACCAGGTGTACAGCACCTGGAGCACAGCCCAGTGATGCTACACATAGTGCAGGAGTCCTGGCCTAGAGCACACCAGCACAAGATCAAAACAGTAAGCAACACCTCCTTCCCTCCTCCCCAACACCACCCCACAACATCCCAACCCCAACCCCTCCACCATCACCACACACCATAACCCCCAACACCCCCACCCACACCACCATACCACCTACCCCCCCCCCTAATGCTCGCCCCAACACCCCCACCACCATACCACCTCCCCCCCTAATACTCGCCCCAACACCCCCACCCACACCACCATACCACCTACCCCCTCCCCCTAATACTCGCCCCAACACCCCCACCCACACCACCATACCACCTACCCCCCCCCCCCTTACCCAACCCCAACTCCATAATGACTTCCATAAACACAAACCACCGCTAATTACCGAGGAAATAATAGCCATCATCTCCACTAAGCACAATCAAGTATTGATATTTTAATGGTAAGTGTCTTATCGCTCTCATTACCCAACTGTTACTACCGCATGCAACGCAAAAATGATATATTTTCGCTCAGCAAAAGCCTTGTAAAAAAAATTAATATGCCCAATATTACCTTTTTCCCCTATTAGGGGTATACTTTTTGCCTAGTTAATGTTGTATTGGATATTATTTAAAAAAAAAAATTAAAATCTGTTGATGCGGAGATTGAAGGATAATGGCGACCCTAAGGGACGCCCAGCCCTGCCCCCATGTCACAGCCTAAGGGGCACCCAGCCCTGCCCCCATGTCACAGCCTAAGGGACACCCAGCCCTGCCCCCATGTCACAGCCTAAGGGACACCCAGCCGTGCCCCCATGTCACAGCCTAAGGGACACCCAGCCGTGCCCCCATGTCACAGCCTAAGGGACAACGAGACCACTGATAGAAAATTCTTGTAAACACGAGGTAGCAGTTTAAAACCTCTCTCCAGAGTGAGTGACCAGCAACAGCTAGGCCTGGGTGAGGCCTTCTACCCTCCCTCCCTGCCTCCCTTGACCTGACCTCTGACCCATTGTTCAGAAAACAGTGGTTACTCCAGTAAATAAGCTTCGGTAATGTTCACTCTTCCCATCAGACAGCCAAGATGTGATCTCTCATATTGTTGTTGGTGTGTGAGGCTGTGTAATGATTCTCTTCCTGTCACCACACAGTGATCATTCTCCTCTACTAGGACATGTAGCCAGCGACTGTTCTTCCTATTGTCTCATTACTCCACTTCCTTACCTCTCTTCTCCACTGCATCTCACGCATATCTTCCCGTTCTCCTTAACCAGTATCTCCTCTACGTGTGGCTGGCTGCAACCCCTCCTCCTAATAGAGCGTCGCATTTTGACGTATACTCTACCTAAGGCCAAAAACGCTTCGTCGTACTAGAAAATGATAGCGGCTCGCGGAATTGACATAATGTCCCATTTTCTGTTTTGAGTCCTCTGGTAGGTTAGAATAAGGGCACTTTAGTACGACAGTTTCTTGACGTTGGGAAACCTTAGGAGGCCGGGCTGGTACCCAAGCTTTCTCCCCTTTTGTCTAGAACAAAAGTTACCAAACTAGAGCCAGGCACTGAGGACTATCCTCCTGGAGTGTTAAGAAGACTAACACATCCTCATAAACAGGCTGATGTACAAGGTGGAGAAGCAGACCACGATGACTGGGAAGACAGTGAACTGGAGGGTTAAGAGAGTACCTGCCGGACAGAATACAGAGAGCCACAGACAGAGAGGTGTCGAGCTGAAAGGATGTGACAAGTGGGGGTCCCCCAACGCTTGGTTCTGGGACTATTCATAACTGTTCATAATTGATGTGAGTAACCTGCCCGAGGGAGTGAGCTCGGTCGTGTCAATGTGTGCAGATGAAGGGCTGTCATCACCCAGGACCGCATAACATTACAGGAGGACCTTCACAAACTCCTGCTGGCAACATGTAACCTGGTTGATACCTGGTTGATGGCGTTCTGGGAGTTCTTCTACTCCCCAAGCCCGGCCCGAGGCCAGGCTTGACTTGTGAGAAAAGAATAATAAGGATAAGAATAATAATAACGTAATGTAGACGGGAGAGGAAGAAAGGCCACCAGGAGTACCTTTCCAGGTATCAAACAGCCAGGTATGAACTCTAGCAAACATTAAGAAACCACTTAAAAACCTTAATAAACTACTCTCTATTTTAAGGCAATCTGCGCAGCGTAATGTCTCATCTCCGCAGTCGCCCACAGAGACCAATCACCAACCTTCGTACCACACAACACGACACACACAACGGGTTGTGGTGTGACTATCAGCAATTACGAAAATGGAAAATTTGCCTAAAACGGAGCCCCCCAAAATCCCGAGCAACGGAATGTGAAATGAGGCGAGGGACAATGATGCCAATTCCTCTGGTAATGACGGTGGTTGTGACAGGCCAAACAGCCCCCCCCCCCCGCCCACACTGACAACTCTCTCTCTCCATCAACATAGCCTCGCAAAAACATTTTCTTTTGTTTGCTTTCATGGTTCATATTTCCTTGTATTCCACGGATTTTTTGGGGCTTTTATTGTGCTTACGATTTGGAATTATATCGTTGAAATACAAAGAAACTAAGCTTGTAAAGCATTGGTTAAGGTGGTGTTATTGTCGAATATTATTATTATTTTTTTTTTTTGCTGTAAGATTTTGGGTTGTGTTGTGGTTCGTATGGGTGATTACTATGGGGTGGTTGTGATGCGTGTAGTGGTGGTGACTGGTGGTGACTGGTGGTCGTGGTGGTGGTGTGGTGGTTATTGTGGTGGTGGTTGGTGTGGTGGTTGGTGTGGTGGTGGTTGGTGTGGTGGTTGGTGTGGTGGTGGTTGGTGTGGTGGTTGGTGTGGTGGTGGTTGGTGTGGTGGTTGGTGTGGTGGTGGTTGGTGTGGTGGTTGGTGTGGTGGTTATTGTGGTGGTGGTTGGTGTGGTGGTTGGTGTGGTGGTGGTTGGTGTGGTGGTTGGTGTGGTGGTGGTTGGTGTGGTGGTTGGTGTGGTGGTGGTTGGTGTGGTGGTTGGTGTGGTGGTGGTTGGTGTGGTGGTTGGTGTGGTGGTTATTGTGGTGGTGGTTGGTGTGGTGGTTATTGCTATTGTCATGGTGATCGTTGCCATGGTGGTATAGTCTTCATAGTGATCGTTTCCAGGCTGATGGTCGTTGCCATGGTAGACGGTATCTTGGTCACTGCCATGGAAGTGGTTGGTGGTTGTTGCCATGGTAATGGTGTCGTCATGGCATGCGCTGCCATAGTGTGGTCGTTCTGGGAGTTGTTCCATTTCCCAAGCAGGCCCCCATATACACTACAACCCGGTTGATCCAGCACTTCTCGCAATAAACTGCCAAACTTCCTTTTAAACACTTCTACTTTTATGCCAGCATATATATATATATATATATATATATATATATATATATATATATATATATATATATATATATATATATATATATATATATATATATATAATGTGTGTGTGTTGTCTGAGTGTGTGTATGGCACCTCTACTCCTCACCGGGTCTGCATTTCCAACTATATCGTTCGCTCTAGTATGTTATTTTACTGTGCAAATGTGGACCCTGGCCCCTCTAGTATCTTCCATCTATATATATTTATGTGATGCCTCTCTCGTCTCCTTGCTAGAGATTGCATTTTGAAAGCTTTGAGAACATCCTAATAATTGAAGTGCTTTATCGTGTCTATATGCATGCCGTATATGTTCTCTGTATTTCCTGGAATCGGGAACTCTCTCCCCTGCTCTGAAAGGGGGAAATGAGTATCAAGCAGCACTTAAGACGGGAGTGAACCAGTGCTTTGAGGAGTATGATCATTGTGACGGGATCCCTGGATTTGATATGGTTCTCACAATCCATCCTATCATCTCACAATCCATCCTATCATTTTCCTGGTTAACGCAATATTTTGGCTTGGTTATGCTTCTTAAATATTAGCTTGTTAATGTCAATATTCCTAGATCCTTTACATGTTGCTGTCCTTCAGAGTGTAGGTCTGTGACCTGTATCTTGCATTTCGTTTAAGCTCTTTTTTTTTTATTTACCATAGAAAAGTATCTGGGATTTATCACTATTAAACATCATGTTATTTTCAGCTGCGCAGTCGAAAATGTTATTGATCTTAGCTTGAAGTTTTGAGTAATTTTCAGTACAGAAGTTAATTTTCAAACGGATCTTTGTATCATCTGCAAAGGACGACACGAAGCTGTGGCTTGTATTTTTTTAGTCGTTGCCATGGGAGTGGTCGTCATGGTGGTCGTTGCCATGGGAGTGGTCGTCATGGTGGTCGTTACCATGGGAGTGGTCGTCATGGTGGTCGTTGCCATGGGAGTGGTCGTCATGGTGGTCGTTGCCATGGGAGTGGTCGTCATGGTGGTCGTTGCCATGGGAGTGGTCGTCATGGTGGTCGTTGCCATGGGAGTGGTCGTCATGGTGGTCGTTGCCATGGGAGTGGTCGTCATGGTGGTCGTTACCAAGGGAGTGGTCGTTGCCATGGGAGTGGTCGTCATAGTGGTCGTTACCATGGGAGTGGTCGTCATGGTGGTCGTTGCCATGGGAGTGGTCGTCATGGTGGTCGTTGCCATGGGAGTGGTCGTCATGGTGGTCGTTGCCATGGGAGTGGTCGTCATGGTGGTCGTTGCCATGGGAGTGGTCGTCATGGTGGTCGTTGCCATGGGAGTGGTCGTCATGGTCGTTACCATGGGAGTGGTCGTCATGGTGGTCGTTGCCATGGGAGTGGTCGTCATGGTGGTCGTTGCCATGGGAGTGGTCATGGTGGTCGTTGCCATGGGAGTGGTCGTCATGGTGGTCGTTGCCATGGGAGTGGTCGTCATGGTGGTCGTTGCCATGGGAGTGGTCGTCATGGTGGTCGTTGCCATGGGAGTGGTCGTCATGGTGGTCGTTGCCATGGGAGTGGTCGTCATGGTGATCGTTGCCATGGCGGTGGTTGACACTGGCACCCTAGTTACTGCAGGAGAAGGGGTACCACCACCACCGGTGTCTCGTGTCAACTAGTGGCAATTGATAATGAAACACTGCAAAGGAATAAAAGGCTTGCGGTGACCAATTTACATGAAGACAATAATGACGGTAATGGTGAAACGTCTTAACAATGGGAAGTCAATAGTGATATACTCAATTGTCAATAGACTTGTCAATCACACCACATACCAAAATAATTTGATCTAAGCAAAGCAAGAGTAAAGACCTCTCCTTGCTTTTTGGGTTAGGCTTATTATCTCTTTTTTTGGGGGGGGGGGGGGCAGCTCCCCAACATGAGGCAAACCGGAGCGGACCAAGCCCTGTGGCCCTACAGGTTGACAGACCAAGAGCCAGATTCACGAAGCAGTTACGTAAGTATTTACGAACGTGTACATCTTTCCTCAATCTTTGACGGCTTTGGTTACATTTATTAAACATGTTGTTTAAAATTTGCTACTTGGAACCAAAAGTTTCAAGTAGCACGGGCTATGGTGAGCCCGTAGGTTATTAAACAGTTTACAAGCATGAAGACTTCCCAATCAACTGGTGTTATTGTTATAAACAGCCTCCTAGTGCTTCGGAGCTCATTAACTGTTTAATAATTGTAAACAAAGCCGCCAAAGACTGAGAAAACATGTACAGGTTCGTAAGTGCTTGCTTAACTGCTTCGTGAATCTGGTCCCTGAACTTCAGGAACAGAACTCTGCTACCCCCTTCGTCCAGAAGAGCGTGTTTCACGAGCCGCAATTAACTGCTCACTGGGGCAATTGGAGCAGTAACTCATCTCTAACAACATGACCCCCCCCCTCTCCCCCCCCTCTTCCCCTCCCGAGAAAAGTGGTGTCCCCTCGTTTAGGGAAAGGGTGGGGTGGGGTGGGGTGGGGTGGGGTGGGGGGGGGGTGGAGGGATGCGTGTGCACGAAGGCATGCACTCAATGTCATGGAGGCTAGTAGTCATCCGTCATTATTTCGACTGTTTAAATCTACATATCATCATTATGCATCTTGTCCTCAGGCCGGACTCGTCAAGGGGGGGGTGGGGAGGGGTGCTGTACCCCCCCAAAAAAGCCACTCATCAATTTTATCGTCCTGCGTATTCAAGATTTGAATTTTCTCGTAATGTAAGGTAATATTTCAAACTGGAATGTGTTGAATAGTTAAGCCTAAGTTAGGTTAGGTGGTTATAAGATCTGCTGGCAATTATTGGTTCTACGGGCTCACCATAGCCCGTGCTACTTTGGAACTTTTGTTCTAAGTAGCTGAATCTAAAACAAAAACACAATATTGGTTCTCTGCAGCACGTGGACGGGGCATTCTGAGGCCTGAGCAGTGATGGTGAGCCTGGCACTGGCATTCTGAGGTCTGAGCAGTGATGGTGAGCCTGGCACTGGCATTCTGAGGCCTGAGCAGTGACGGTGAGCCTGGCACTGGCATTCTGAGGTCTGAGCAGTGATGGTGAGCCTGGCACTGACATTCTGAGGCCTGAGCAGTGATGGTGAGCCTGGCACTGGCATTCTGAGGCCTGAGCAGTGATGGTGAGCCTGGCACTGACATTCTGAGGCCTGAGCAGTGATGGTGAGCCTGGCACTGACATTCTGAGACCTGAGCAGTGATGGTGAGCCTGGCACTGACATTCTGAGGCCTGAGCAGTGATGGTGAGCCTGGCACTGACATTCTGAGGCCTGAGCAGTGATGGTGAGCCTGGCACTGACATTCTGAGGCCTGAGCAGTGATGGTGAGCCTGGCACTGCTCGCACAACACTACATACGTCATCAGTTCTAAGTAGATTGTAGTGTTACTCTCATAAACTGGTTTAGGAGGGATTAACCAGCGTACGATGTTTGTTGATGAGGACGGGTTGTTTGTTGATGAGGACGGGTTGTTTGTTGATGAGGACGGGATGTTTGTTGATGAGGACGGGTTGTTTGTTGATGAGGACGGGTTGTTTGTTGATGAGGACGGGTTGTTTGTTGATGTGGACGGGTTGTTTGTTGATGAGGACGGGTTGTTTGTTGATGAGGACGGGTTGTTTGTTGATGAGGACGGGTTGTTTGTTGATGAGGACGGGTTGTTTGTTGATGAGGACGGGTTGTTTGTTGATGTGGACGGGTTGTTTGTTGATGAGGACGGGTTGTTTGTTGATGAGGACGGGTTGTTTGTTGATGAGGACGGGTTGTTTGTTGATGAGGACGGGTTGTTTGTTGATGTGGACGGGTTGTTTGTTGATGAGGACGGGTTGTTTGTTGATGAGGACGGGTTGTTTGTTGATGAGGACGGGTTGTTTGTTGATGAGGACGGGTTGTTTGTTGATGAGGACGGGTTGTTTGTTGATGAGGACGGGTTGTTTGTTGATGAGGACGGGTTGTTTGTTGATGAGGACGGGTTGTTTGTTGATGAGGACGGGTTGTTTGTTGATGAGGACGGGTTGTTTGTTGATGTGGACGGGTTGTTTGTTGATGAGGACGGGTTGTTTGTTGATGTGGACGGGTTGTTTGTTGATGTGGACGGGTTGTTTGTTGATGAGGACGGGTTGTTTGTTGATGAGGACGGGTTGTTTGTTGATGAGGACGGGTTGTTTGTTGATGTGGACGGGTTGTTTGTTGATGAGGACGGGTTGTTTGTTGATGAGGACGGGTTGTTTGTTGATGTGGACGGGTTGTTTGTTGATGAGGACGGGTTGTTTGTTGATGTGGACGGGTTGTTTGTTGATGTGGACGGGTTGTTTGTTGATGAGGACGGGTTGTTTGTTGATGAGGACGGGTTGTTTGTTGATGAGGACGGGTTGTTTGTTGATGAGGACGGGTTGTTTGTTGATGAGGACGGGTTGTTTGTTGATGAGGACGGGTTGTTTGTTGATGTGGACGGGTTGTTTGTTGATGAGGACGGGTTGTTTGTTGATGTGGACGGGTTGTTTGTTGATGTGGACGGGTTGTTTGTTGATGAGGACGGGTTGTTTGTTGATGAGGACGGGTTGTTTGTTGATGAGGACGGGTTGTTTGTTGATGTGGACGGGTTGTTTGTTGATGAGGACGGGTTGTTTGTTGATGAGGACGGGTTGTTTGTTGATGTGGACGGGTTGTTTGTTGATGAGGACGGGTTGTTTGTTGATGTGGACGGGTTGTTTGTTGATGTGGACGGGTTGTTTGTTGATGAGGACGGGTTGTTTGTTGATGAGGACGGGTTGTTTGTTGATGAGGACGGGTTGTTTGTTGATGAGGACGGGTTGTTTGTTGATGAGGACGGGTTGTTTGTTGATGAGGACGGGTTGTTTGTTGATGTGGACGGGTTGTTTGTTGATGAGGACGGGTTGTTTGTTGATGTGGACGGGTTGTTTGTTGATGTGGACGGGTTGTTTGTTGATGAGGACGGGTTGTTTGTTGATGAGGACGGGTTGTTTGTTGATGAGGACGGGTTGTTTGTTGATGAGGACGGGTTGTTTGTTGATGAGGACGGGATGTTTGTTGATGAGGACGGGATGTTTGTTGATGAGGACGGGTTGTTTGTTGATGAGGACGGGTTGTTTGTTGATGTGGACGGGTTGTTTGTTGATGAGGACGGGTTGTTTGTTGATGTGGACGGGTTGTTTGTTGATGAGGACGGGTTGTTTGTTGATGAGGACGGGTTGTTTGTTGATGAGGACGGGGTGTTTGATGATGAGGACGGGTTGTTTGTTGATGAGGACGGGGTGTTTGTAGATGAGGACGGGTTGTTTGTTGATGAGGACGGGTTGTTTGTAGATGAGGACGGGTTGTTTGTTGATGAGGACGGGTTGTTTGTTGATGAGGACGGGTTGTTTGTTGATGAGGACGGGATGTTTGATGATGAGGACGGGTTGTTTGTTGATGAGGACGGGTTGTTTGTTGATGAGGACGGGTTGTTTGTTGATGAGGACGGGGTGTTTGTTGATGAGGACGGGTTGTTTGTTGATGAGGACGGGTTGTTTGTTGATGAGGACGGGTTGTTTGTTGATGAGGACGGGGTGTTTGTTGATGAGGACGGGTTGTTTGTTGATGAGGACGGGTTGTTTGTTGATGAGGACGGGGTGTTTGTTGATGAGGACGGGGTGTTTGTTGATGAGGACAAGCATTTCATTCATAACTTTAAAAGCAGGTATGATAGAGAAACAGACCAGGAACGAATTACTGCATTAGACAGCCAACGCTTCGAAAAGCGGGGTCTAAGAGCTGGAGCTCGATCCTGCAGGCACAAATAGGTAAGTACAATCACACACACACACACACGGGGTCTGGTAGCTGAGTGGACAGCACGCAGTACTCGTAATTCTGTGGCCCGGGTTCGATTCCCGGACAAGACAAAAACAAATGGGCAAATGGGTTTCTTTCACTCTGAATGCCCCCTGTTACCTAGCAGTAAATAGGTACCTGGGAGTTAGTCAGCTGTTACGGAGCTGCTTCCTGGGGGGTGAGTAAGATAAAAAAAAAGTTAGTTGGTAGTTAGTAACAGTTGATTAACAGTTGAGAGGCGGGCCGAAAAAGCAGAGCTCAACCCCCGCAAGCACAACTAGGTGAATACAACTACATGAACACACACACACACACACACACTGGTGGAGGCTGGAGGCACACTGATGTGGTGGAGGCTGACTCCATACACAGTTTCAAGTGTGGATATGATAAGAGCCCAGTAGGCTCAGGAACCTGTACACCAGTTGATTGAAAGTTGAGAGGCGGGACCAAAGAGCCAGAGCTCAACCCCCGCAAGCACATATAGGTGAGTACACGCACACACACACACACACACACACACACACACACACACACACACACACACACACACACACACACACACACACACAACCTTAATTGATGGAGGCTTCAGGTGATAGGTCTGGGGTATTGCCATCCCCCAACGCATGCATATATAAGGCAGAAGGCGCACACACACAGTTCCTCAGAGGCTGCGCATGAAGACGCAAAGTTAGTGTGAGTGCACGACTGACTGTAGCAACGAGTGCACGCGCGTGTGTGTCGTCACACGAGACGGCTCCCGTACGCTTGTGTTTATGATGGATGATGACAGTCATTATAAATATTAGAAAAGGTCCAGCTTTTGGCGTAGATCCATGTTGTCATGTGTGAGTGTCCCAGCGAGTGAACTCATGGTCCTGGGACGCCTAGAGCCCTGCTCTACAGGGACGCCTGGAGCCCTGCTCTATGGGGACGCCGGGAGCAATGCTCTACAGGGACGCCGGGAGCCCTGCTCTACGGGGACGCCAGGAGCCCTGCTCTACAGGGACGCCTGGAGCCCTGCTCTACAGGGACTCCGGGAGCCCTGCTCTACAGGGACGCCGGGAGCCCTGCTCTACAGGGACGCCTGAAGCCCTGCTCTACGGGGGGGCGTCAGGAGCCCCGCTCTACTACCTCGCCCTCCCCGGTTCATTCATATCCGGCACCATCACAGTGCCAGAGGGACTGGGCGGCACTATCCATCACCAGAGGGTGCCACGGACGCTCTCATGGTCACACAATTTACACACTCCCAAACCGGTCCTGCCTAGTCCCATCCCGACGCCCCCCCCCACCTTCCCCAGCCCAGCCTGCACCCCGCTCTCTCCCCCACCTTCCCCAGCCCAGCCTGCACCCCGCTCTCTCCCCCCCTTCCCCAGCCCATCCTGCACCCCCTCTTTTCTAGCCCTTCCCCAGCCCAGACCCTTCCAGGCGGCCAGTATCCTCAAGTCGGTTATAGCCCCTTCCTTGCTCGTCAGTCAGCCCCTCCTTGCTAGTTTCTTCCCTATCCGCAGGCCAGTCAGCCCCTTACAGTTCAGCCTCAATTAACCAGTTAGTCAGTCACTCCCCCGCCAGCAAGCCCCCCCAAACCCCAAGTCTTCCAGTCCCACACCCTCCCAGTAGTCAGCTTTGCAGTAGTCAAAAGAATACTGTAGGCTGCAAACATGGCACTGATTGAGGTAAGATACGGGATGGATATCTTACGGATACGGGATTGAGGTAAGATACGGGATGGATATCTTACGGATACGGGATTGAGGTAAGATACGGGATGGATATCTTACGGATACGGGATTGAGGTAAGATACGGAAGATACGGTTTACACAAGGGAGACTAATACGTCACGCGGCCACCGTAACATTCCCCTGCACAACATCCATTCACTCGCATCATCGCAGATTGGAACTTGAATCTCAAAATGACGAGTCCCACCAATCAGGCCTGGGGTTCCACTCTCCCATGAGCCAATTGAATTTAATGTTATTTTCAATTGCATGTAATGTATTCCTATTGTATTATGTATTTTATATATATGCAAACCAATTTTGCAATGTATTTGCAGGAATTTGGTGAAAAAAGTTATATTTATAGAACAATTTCGAGAGCCTAGACCGGAATGGTCAATACTCGACCTGAATGGTCAATAGTCGACCTGAATGGTCAATAGTCGACCTGAATGGTCAATAGTCGACCTGAATGGTCAATACTCGACCTGAATGGTCAATACTTGACCTGAATGGTCAATAGTCGCGCTGATGCAACTGGTGAACCCATAGTTAAGCATGGACTCGATTAACCGGCCAGTCAGATATACCGGATAAACCACATTAGTGGTGACAAAACCACATTCTTATCCGATCAAGGACATTATTATTACTGCCTATCGTATACATATTCAAAAGTTCCTAAATAATAAATATTATAATTTGCGAAGAAAATCGTAATTTATTTTTAGTGTCGTGCCT